GTTCATCTTCTTCATATCAATCTGTGTGTTCTTGATTAATTACTCTGTTGTGCTCTTATCATTGTTTCCGCTGCACTGTAATCGTCCTAAAGATCATCCAGAGTAAGAGATCAAATACCAAATCTGAATTTACAGGTCCTAACACTTGTATTTGGAATTTTTGAGTTGTGTATTTCGTATTTTAGACTCTTGTATTATGGACCTATGTGGGTTTAAAACATGTATTCGATGTATGAAATATGTGTTATATGCAATGTATGGATTTGGGGGTGTTACATTACCGAATATCGATGAAGTCAATTTCGGGTTTAATAAATTGTAATCTGTAAATCCAAAAAGAATTTGAACACAGTTTGTAATGAGTTACAAAGTTTAGAACATAAGAAAAATAAGTCTCCAAGATCCCAACTTTGAGTAGTACATAGCAAGTCACAAAGAGCATTAGTCTTCAACTATGTACACATAACTCAAAAGCTTTTGTTTTAAGTTTTGCACTAACTTGAGGTTTCATGTCTTGTACCCACATTTCTAAGGCTATAACAAAGAATGATCGATGGAACAAAATTTTCTATTATCTATAAGTACAGATGCTCAAAAAAGCCAAAGCCCAAGCCCCAACCCAGACCTAAACCCGGCATCTTGGTTAAGTTGGAAAAGTGAAAAGGCACAATTGGACCCTCTTTCAAGCTCAACCAACCTGGCTCAGCCTGAAAAAGTCCAAACTTATTTTTTCTTACTGAAAAACCGGGTTGAAAAGTCCAGCCTTATGCATCTCTATCTACAAGATATAACGCAATCAAACTCCATCAAACATTTAAAAGAATCGAGAACAGTATTTGAACCATGGGTAAATAAAACATTTCCTAGAATGCTAATGAATTCCAAACATAAGAAATTAGCAAGCATGAAATAGTGTAAAACTAAAATCCCTATTAGTGGTTGACTGCAAATGGTTGTAAAACAGCTAAGTACATGGAGGTTTCATGTATTCCTTTTCATACTAGCTATTATTAGTTCACTATAAATCATTATGCACATAATCGAGTAAAACTGCCAAGGATGCTAGGACTCACAAGACAAGTTACCTTAAAATTTCTCTAATCAAATCGAAACTCAAAACCAGGAGTAAGATTTGACAATCGAGAAGATGGAAGGGGTTGAGTAAGTTATATGTGCATGAGTTCTTTAGGGAAGAGCAGAAAGTGGTTTACGTTTCACAAGATATGCAGGTGGGGACGACTAGAGGTGGAGATGGCCGGAGAAGGAGGTGTTCCATCGACAACAGTGGGAGGAAAACAAATGAAGCGAAGGGGAGGGCTTGAGTAAGGGTGCATTAATGGCCAAAAAAACAAGAAAAAGACAAAAGTGGGTAAAAAGATAAAAGTGCCTCTTGCGACAATATTTAATAGAGTAAATCAAAAAGACCTTTTTCAAAGCAATATGCAAAGTGTAGTGACCACTTTTGTAATTATTAAAGTTCAGGGATATTATTCGTAGTTTTTTATAAACCACAAGAACCAAAATTGTAGTTTACTCTATGAAAAATATTAATTAAAATTTAATTGTTTATATTTTTTTTCCAAATAAAAAACATAAACGAGTTAAGTTGGTCGGTCTGAAACTATTTTTACATCATACTTATCCCCCCATTAATCTTAATGGGTTATTAACTAGTCCATACATCAATATTTTCCAAGAATGGTTGTCCATTCTCGTTTGTTGGACGGACAAGAATTGTAAATCATCATAATCGTAAGTCATCATGATCTACAAACAACTCTAAGGGGCCATTTACAAAAAACTTACCCAATAAGTGCTTATTGGTAAGATTCAACACTATTACTTACTTATCGGGTAAGATTTTAGTCTACCAAAACGGTATCATATGTAATAATTTACCCGATAAGCTCTTACCGTGGTAAAAGTCATCACCTTCATTTATCGGGCAAGACTCTTGTTCCTTATCTCGCTCTTACCGGGTAAGACTTTTGGTCCTTGCCATACTCACCCGGTAAAGTAATATGACTTGGTAAATGCTTACATGGGTAAGCGTTTGGTAAACGGCCCCCTAAATTATTTGTCATATTCACATATGGATGCAATATTATATCTTTTTTATACCTATATTTGAAAGTTAATGCGAATAATAGAGCATATTCACAATTGAATAAAGTGATAATTCAAGAAAAATGAAACAATAATGGTAGTTCAAGCGAATACACATGATATTCAAGCGAATACACAGTGACTACTATTTGTACTCGTACGTGAATACAACTTTGAATTTTATTTGAGAACTCAGTTAAAAATAAATAAATAAATCAATAATATGAGTGACAAATAAAAAAAACTCGTTTTGCAATATAATTGATTTTAGTCCAAAAAAAAATTATTATAATTTCAAATTTAAGGGGTGTTTGGGATTGTTTATTTGAAACAACTAATGTTTTTTTAGAAAAAATATTTATTAACTTATTATAAGTTAGAATAGTTTAACTTTTTCAAAAACTTCTTATTACCGGTTTGACACCGGTATAAATTGTTTATCCAAACACTCAAAAATACTTATTACCGGTGTCATATCGAAATACGTCAATATGTTGTTTTTATAAGCAATCATAAACACCCCCTAAAAAGAATGAGGTAATAATATTAGTGTTTAGGGCTATGTATCTAATTTTTAGACACCGAGCAGGAAAAATTTTGAATGTGTGCAAAAAAAAAAAGTAGGAGAAATGTAAAGAAAAGAATTACAAGGGGTGAAAGTGTAAAATAAGTAAAATATGGTCGTCATTTTGAAATTTCACCTCCAACCCCTTTCTCGTACATATACTCTTTGCCTTGTTCATCTGTGTCTTCTTTACCATCCGAATCTGCACGAGAAATTAAGGCCGAGAAATCTTGACGCGAAAATCTCTCTCCAATGGTAACTCAAGAATCAGATCTAATCTAATTACTGTATTACACAACTGTTCCTACTAATGCTCGATTCATTTCAGTTCTTTCTTCGTTTTTTTTCTTAATCATACCTGCATTTGTGATCTTCTATACTTGTCTACACTATACATAAATCTATGAATTTGAAAGATGGGATTTAATGAATTGAGCGATTACCAAGGTACTTTTTCATTTGAAGCTCCAAATTTGTTTTACGATCAGTTATTGAGAATTGCTGTTCTATTTTTGTTGAGTTATAGTGATTTTATGATTTATGGGACTCAGATCTGCGCGAATGTAGTCATTCATTTCAAAATAAGAGCTTTGATTTGATGAATATTGTGAACTAGGCTTTTCTGGGATTGTTAATTGAAATAAATTCAGTTACTGGCTTTTCAAAATTGATGTTGGCATTGCCAAGACAAATTTGAGATCTTCTTCTTCTTTCCTGATAAATTAATTTCGTTGTTGCAAAATGTATAAATTTTACATGACAAAAATACAGCAGTTTGTGATCTCTTAATGGTACTTGGTCAGGATTCTGATATGTTTGTAGCATGTTTCAGCTATATGTAAGACAATGGATTGAAGTAAAATGTATCAAGAGACAGTGGAGTTAAAGAACATTTGATAGGCTGTAAACTGCATAATTCTGCTGCCTGAAGTTTTAATATTATAGGTGATTGGTATGAATAGTGAGTAATAGTCAGGATGGATATCTAGACTTTGCATCTACACTCTCATATCTCTTACCCGTGGGGTCTATTCAGGATCAATCACATGTTTCAGAGAGTATTACTAGAAAAGGAATATGATGAACCATTCCCAATCTTGGATAGGATTGATTATGGTTTAAAACCAAAACCAAAGTCAAACTGACCCAGTAAATCCCACTCTAAAGCAGGTTCTAGCCTTCTAGGAGGGGTAAGTTGTACGCAGACCTGACCTCTACCCCAAAAGAGTAGAGCGGCTTTTTCCGTGAAGACCCCTAGCTTGTGCAAGAGCATAAGCAAGCAGTTAAGAAGAATAAATACTAGCATGAGGTGCGCGAACTAATCACATGTTTGGGACAGTATTACTAGAAAAATAATATGATAAACCATTCCTAATCTTGGATACGATTGATTATCATTTACCTAGCATAATCATCAAATACACAAGGCTAAGGCAATATGTTTGGCAAACTAGAGTAGTTGAAAAGCTGGTCGTTGGCTCATAAGTTAGTTGTTACACGATAAACTAGAATTAGCTTTTCAAAAAGTTAGCTTATAAGCTAGTTTCTGGTTAGCCAAACGAGGCTTTTACAATAAGCTCAAAAAATAAGCTAGCTTATGGTTGCCAAACATGCCTAAGTTATCAATTAATTATCTCTATTCGCTATATAATAACCTGATAGGATGAGTTCCAACTGCGGTGGATGTAAAAAAATATATCTGCCCACCCCCAGGTAGTAGCGACAGACAGCAACAAGTTAATACCCTCTGGATTGTTTTCCAGGAATTGCCCAAAGCTGCTGCTGCTATGGGCCTCTAATAAATATGTGTTTACTTAATTTTTTAAACAATGGAAAAGGTTTCTCTATTTCGCATCATGAGGGGACGATAAAAGAAAGATAAAAGAAGAACAAGAAAAAAGATAAAAAATGAACAACCGTTAAGTAGATCATTTTTTCGTTTTTGAACAGTCTCCCCGTCTGTGATGCAAGGGACAATTTTGGTCAAGTTGCAAGTTCAGAATATTTATGTTTGATGATTCTTGTCTGTAGGAGTCTTGCCCTTCCGTAAAGAACATCTTACTTTTGGACTCAGAAGGAGCTCGTGTAGCTGTGAAGTACTATTCAGATGACTGGCCAACTAATAGTTCTAAGGAAGCATTTGAAAAGTCTGTGTTTACCAAGACCCAGAAGACAAATGCACGGACGGAAGGTCTGCGTTAAATCCCCTTTTAATCCCTCTTCCACTCTCTGCTATGTATATCTTTCTGCTGATTACTGGTAGCTAAAGCTTATGTTGCTGTATGTTACATATAGCTTATGTACTACAGCTATCCCTTCACCAGTGTCCATACAGCTTAACTAAGATTATAGCCATTAAATAGTTAAATGGAAAAATCAAACCTTTTTAAAGTAGTTTTGATATGCCTCTCTGGGTGAATCAGTTGCCATGTTTGATTGTATTACATGCCACCTCTGTTTTCCCTTTTTGAAGAAACTTATGAAGACTGAAGTAGGAAACTTTAGAAGCTTGTTCTCATTTTCTTAAGCAGCATATAATGTTTTTCATGGACTAACGTGCAGCGGAGATAGCAATGTTTGAGAGTAATATTGTCATCTACAAATTTGCTCAAGACCTTCACTTCTTTGTTACTGGGGGTGATGATGAAAATGAGCTCATTATCTCCACAGTTCTTCAGGGTTTCTTTGATGCAGTCAGTCTTCTGCTTAGGTAATATTCATTTGCTTATCTGATTACTTAATCAGCTTTTCTAATGAAACTTTGGTAAGATTCGTTTATTAATTATTATGTTTTCCAGGGGTAATGTGGATAAGAAGGAAGCACTTGAGAATTTAGATCTCATTTTATTGTGCCTCGATGAAATTGTTGACGGCGGGTAAGCCACATCTTTATTACGTAATATATTCATTGTTATTCTTCAATTGTTGTATTATTGAACATTTTGGATTTCTAAATGGGTGGATTGATATTACTGTAATGCATGAGGAACACTTAAAAAGTGGCATATTCTTTAACCACATATGCATTTAGTAGGTTAAGCTAGGGACCAAGGCCGGAGTGCTTGATTGGGGTGAGAAATAGGAATGACAATGAATAATGGTGTTTTGTTCAATTTAATGCAATGAGTGATTACATAAAAGTTGGGAATCATCCATACCCTAGTAAATTGGGGGGAATAAGAATAACTTTTCGTTCCCCAACATTCTCATTCCTTATCATAACCACTCTCATTATAATTTCCTTAAACTGAAAGAAGCATATCCTTGTAAACTATCTAATAGTTAAGCTTCATTATCTTGAGGATGATTATAATCCCTTGTCAATTATTAAACCAATATTATACTTGGACCAGCTAGGTTTCATGCACAACCAAGCTCTAGTTTTTAGCTCATCTAATCACAAAGACACTATCGCAAGCTTTCTTACATTTCAGCTCATGTAATCATTATATCCTAAAGTCCATGTCCTACCGGGTGCGTTTGGTATGTGGGACAGGACACGACATTAGAGTGGAATAGGACAGGACGGAGTGGGACAAAAATGCACTTTTTTGTCCTACCAACATAGGTAGAACAAAAATAGGAAACTGGGACAAGATTGGCAAATTACTAAATTACCATGGCAAATTAAAATCTTAAAACCTTCCTCAAGTTTTTTTTTCACTCTCGCCTGTTCATTCCTATCGAGTCTCGTTCTGTTCTATCCTGTCTAATCCAATCTACATATCAAAAGCAATAGAGACACAGGTTCCTCAATGCATTCCAGTTTATAGATCTTTAACTAGTGAAAGAGTAGATCTTCTTAACATACATCTACTTATGCTTTGTAGAATCATCCTGGAAACAGATGCAAATGTTATTGCTGGTAAGGTTGCAAGCCACAGCGTAGATTCCGGAGCTCCTCTGTCTGAGCAGGTACCTTACCTATCATTTCCTCAACCCCAACAAATTGCAAATTCTGTTTATTTTTCAAGCCGGGGGACTTGATGGAAACAATCTCACTACCCCCACCCACCCCCCAGAAGGGGAACCCTACCTCTGTGTGGGATTTACTAGGTTCTTTTGGTTTGGTTCAACAAATGCAAAAAATCATCTGGAATTGTTGTCTTAAATTACTTAGTCCATGCTTCAAGATTATGATATGGTCTTTGCAGACAATAAGTCAAGCACTGGCAACCGCACGCGAACATCTTACAAGATCTCTCCTCAAGTAATAAACTTTGAACTGAATCAGAGAAAATATTCTATCTTTTTTGTTCATTTCAGGGAAGAATACAAAAAAATACCCCAAGATTCTAACTTTGAGTTTATTCTTTTAATTTCAGTGTATGAGGATGACGAGGACGATGATGATGATGATGATGATGATGATGATGATGATGATGATACAGTTTGAGTTGAACAAGCCCAGTTTCTTGATTTTTCTGCAGCAGGGTAACAATTTGGACATTACTTTGCAGTTGGTTTCTTGAAAATTAGACATATAAAATGGTTTCTTCAATTCTTTTGGTTGTGTTTCTTATAGAGCATTCTCATCAACTTCAAATGGGTTTCGTGAAAAAAGTCGGTTTCGGTTTTGTTTAGATAATTACTATTTGATGAATTTGAATATTCTTCCATGAATGTTGTGTATTTTCAATAGTTAGAAAATATGATAAAACACAAATTTTCTGCAGTAAACACAATGTGCAATGTTGTACAACACATCTTTTTTTCTTTTTTGTTTGGACATAGAGAAAAGATCGGCATACGTCTCATCTTTTCCCGTACCCTACATTTACAGGTGTTAAGGAGTCAAGTCGAGTTGAGTTGCAGGTTGTTTGAGCTCGGCCGATAAAAATATTATTCGGCACGGCTCGAGCCCAAATACTCGTTTACAGGCTCGAATTAGAGATTGATCATCTTGTTTACTCGCTTGACCTCCATAACTCTTATACTCTTGTTATATTTATACCATCTTATAAAGCATTTGACTAAAACTCTTAAAAACTCTTAAACCCGTTCATCCCTATCTGATTTCATCCCATATCTGAAATCGTGTAACTAACTGCAGATAAACACAATCAAATACAGGATAAACATCTCATTTTAAATATAAAAAATCTAAAATATAATTAGTATAATCATTAAATTCTAACAGTATACTTAATTATTATCTTTATAAAATTTATAATATTAAACCAAAAATATATTGTTTTATTATCAAACTTAAATTAAATTATATATAAAAAATATATATTCTATATTATAAATCATTTGACAAAAACTCTTAAAAACCACTTTTTATGTGTAAAGTACTGTTTATTAATGCATATTACTTAAAACTCAAGATTACAAGTAAATTATGCGTAGGTACAACTTATTAAAGCTCCATAT